CGAGAAGAAGGGGGGGGGGGGGTGGCTCATATAGAAATCACAGTCTTGTGGGATGGGACATGTGTACTCAGACAGATAGATAGCAATGTCTGGGAGGAACCTGTTTCCACATCTTAAGGGCAGAACAGCAATAAAGCTAAAAAAGAAACTGTAATCTTCGTAATCATCACCATAAGAACTGTATATATTACGGATCTCTTATTTTTCTGGGAGTGGGGGTAGAAATTGTCAAAATTGAGGTCTTCTGGGCTTTGTTGCCACATACTCTTGTAGGCAGATGTGGATGTTTGGAAGATAATTCTACCTCTGTCTTCAGTGTTTCACATTGTGTCACAACTCAGAAAACCACAAGTTGAACAATCACTTTCATGAAATTCTCAAAATTTATAACCGTTTCTGTCCATGGTTTTAGTAGCCCTGCTGTAGGGGCTAGCAGAGTTTTCTTTCTTCTGTATCATTTTTGTCTGGACGTGGAAACAAAAACAGTTCACAAAATATAATTGTGTTATTGCCTTGCACAATGGATAAAGCTCAAAGTAATGGTATTAAACAGTTTTTCACACAGTCATCAAAAATCTTAGAACTTGTTTTGAATAAAGAGTTGTGTCCTCAGGGATATAGTGCTGTGACGGTCGGCTGATGGTTTTGGAGGAATATATTGCCTCACTTCATCATTTCTCTTTATCTTGGCAGCACAAACAGAGCAGACAGCATGGCAGTAAAGTTTAAAGTTATTTGAATGACCTCTTAACATATAAGTACCAAGCTTTCATTTGTATCTTTGAACTGATAGCAGACTAAGTGCAAGAGTATATACTGTGCAGAATGAATAATATGTCTGTACTTATTCTTATGACAGAGTAAGACGAGCTGTATGAATTATGTGGTAATGTTCAGTTTTTGTTTGTAGGATTGAGTGTCTGATTTTTCCAGCCTTCGCTCTGTCTCTTCTCATCAGTCATGATTTCACAATTTTGGAGGTGAGGTCCATGTGTTTGTCTTTCTATGTATAAAAAAGGAACATTAGTCAAAAAGAGAATTTAGCAAGTCTGGAGGATTCAGAGTGGTCACAAAATTTTTAACAGTGAAAAATCATCACACATCACCAGGTTCCGGATTTTGATGACCTGAAAATATTTAAAAAATGACCTATAAAATAACCGATACTGTTATAGCACTGGGAAAGGTAGTTCTTCCTGAGTGTGGATTCATCCAGGATCGAATGACCACAGTTTACTTCCAGAAAATTTTTCCGTTTTCCTATGTTCAAAGCCCAAAACGGAATATTTGTGGATGCCAGAGCATCACACAGATCTCTGAAAAAATCCGATGACTTATTTCCACCTCCAGATGAACACTGTTGTAGTAACATTTGCACAGGTTTCTTTTTGTTCGAAATTTGCACTGCTCGTATATGCTTGTCGCAGCTGATATGTTGTTGTACCTTGAATCTTTTTTCTGTCGCTACTTTTGTGTCATCTTGCAGTATAAAAGGTCACCGTCAGTTGAAAATATATCATCTCCAAACTCAGCTACAAATTGCTTTGAATGACACAATTTAGTTGGCTTTGCTTTTGGCATCATGATAAAATTAATCACTCTAGCGCAACACAAAACTGAACTTTTCTCACCGAGAACCTTTCGTCAACTGTATCTTTATCTGTACGGTCAAGGGCGAGGAACTGAAGACAGAAGGAGTTCTGTTGAACAACAATGTCATATGAAGCAAGAGATTCCGACTAGAAATATGTGTAACTAAGCAAATTGCTTTGTACAAAGAGCTGCAGTGTGTGTAGTCATCGATGTACCCTGTTTTATGATATGTATTATCAGCACTTCCGCAAAACGAACGGAAAGGATGGGCCAGGATTACAACCTGTTATTGTATACTATGGCCTTTGTAGAAAGCGCTTAGGAGAAAGAGGAAGATCACTTTGCTTCCATATTATTCACATTTCAGAAAACATGTGAAGAAAAATTCCCTAAAATGGCCAAAAACGACAAGAAATACCCTTAAAATCCCCCAAAAATTACCCCAAAAATGGAAAAAATGACCTTAAACCTAAAAATGACAAAAAATTACCTATAAAATTTACATTTCTGTAACCAGCAGCTCATATCCGAGATTTATATATTTAAGAACATTGCATAGGATACAAGGAAAAAAAGATGACATGTCAGCAAAATCCGGGCCCTGCTCATCAGTGATGGAACTGAGCTCTTCTTGAGAAGGCATTAGTTGTGCAGATATTCAAAAACTTCCCAGCATTATATGGAACCGAAAGGTTCATTACTATGTTCACAAAAGCCGTCCACTGGTTCCTACCCTGAGTTGATTATTCCAGTCCATACCACCCTATCCTCTCTCTCTTTAAAGATTCATTTCAATATTTTCCACTCACCTACAGCTTCATCTTCTTAGTAGTTTACTTCCTTCTGGCTTTCCCACCAATATCCTATATACATTCCTTTTCTCCCCCATTCGTGCTATAAGCCCTGTCCATCTCATCCTTCTTGACTTCATCATTTTAATTATGCAGTTTTTTCAACCTTACTTTATCCCTGTGTGGTCCAGACATTCTTGTCAGTGCCCTCTTCTGAAGCACCCTCAGTCTGTGTTCCTCTGTTAATGTCAGAGACCAAGTTTCACAACCATACAGAACCAAGGGCAATATTATAGTTTTGTATATTTTATGTTTATGTTTTTAAACAGAAGATGAGATAAATGGTTCTGGGCTGAATGGTAACAAGCATTACCTGAATTTCATCTCCTCTTAATTTCCTCATTAATAAAATGTTTATTTGCTTCTGTGGTTCACAAATATATGAACTGTGCCACATTTTCAAAGCATCTGTTAGCTATCATTTCATTATTTCATGATATTGCTATGCATTCGGCTGATGAGACAGCAACAAATACTTAGTTTTCTCTGGGTTTACTTCTAGACCAAACTCCTTACTAACATCACAATAATCATTTCAATAATTTTTGTGCTTTACTTTATGATGTCTACATTATCACTCTGTAGATTCACACCATCAGCATAGACCAGCAGTTGGTGTGTCTCATTTAATTTTAGTCCCACCTGGTTTTCCTGGACCTTCATAATTGTATATTCTAAAGCAAAGTGGTTTTAAAGCATCGGTGGTGGCAAAGGTTAGGGAAAGACACAGTGAGCAAGCAAACAATGCACAGAGTTCATATGGAAAGGTTCAATCTCGAGAAATTAAATGAAGTAAGGAGCAGTAGCGTGCTGAAATCTCAAATATGTTCGCAGCCTTGGAAAACTTGGACACTGAGGTGGATGTTAATAAAGCTGGGGAATTAGAGAGAATATCAAAATTTCTACCAAGGAGAGTCTACGTTATTATGAACTGAAGAAGCATGAGCCATGTTTCGATGAAGGATGCTCAAAATTACTAGACCAAAGGAAACATTCCAAATTGCAACGGGCACAGGATCCAAGCAAAATACATAGTGATAGGATGGGATGGGATGTATTGGATTGATCTGGCTCAGGATAGGAATCGGTGGAGGGCTCTTGTGAACACGGTAATGAACCTTCCCACTTTGATGATCCCTAATAATTTCATCTATATAAGGGCCTAATGTTGAAGGAAACATATTGAATAATATTTTGTATGAATTTGATAGCAGTGATATTTCACAATTATTACAACATTCGGTTTAAGCTACTTTGATGTTAGATAAACAATAAATAAGTACAGTATAATTTGATACACCCATAATACAGTGGAATTTCTACATAATGAATCTCTGTGCCGATGGCTTTTCTTGTGCTAAATCAGTGTTTACACTGAATGGGAGTTACACAAGAATTTCTTCACTTCCTTTTAAGAGTAATTGTATGCAGTTATGATAAAACAACTTCTTCATATAGGTAGTTGAAGAAACTGTTTTGACACAAATACCTACAGTTATGTAATCAATATTATCCAGTTAATTTCTAAGATAATTAATGACAAACACTGAAAGAACCTGAGTTGAGAATCAAAGCAACTGTTTTGTTATCTGACACCATTTTCCAAAGATCGTGGCAGTGCAGTAATTTATGCCGCAGAGAAAATGTTAATATTGACTGATATTTGTTTCAACCATAAATTGAAGTAGACGTTCCTGAAGTTCAGAAATTTCTTACACTGAATACAGATTATGTACTGAATCAAAATTCACCAAATACAGGAAAATAATTCATTGTTTATGTTAGGGATCAACTGGAAGCAGGAAGTATATTTGTTTAATATGGAATTTCACCAAATGCCAGAGTACTAAATCTGGATTTCAGTGTGTTTTCTTACATGTTCTTAATGTTACAGGTGTTATGGACATTCAGTATCTGCCTTGAATCAGTGGCTATTCTGCCTCAACTTTTTCTAGTGTCAACGACTGGCAAGGCAGACAGAATCATGTTGTATTATCTCTTTATGCTTGGCTCGTATCGTGCCCTGTATCTTCTCAACTGGATCTACCGCTATTATTTTGAAAATCATTATGACATCATTGCCGTTGTAGCTGGAGTTGTGCAGACTGCTATTTACTGTGGTTTCTTTTGTCTTTATATTACTAAAGGTGAGTTTTGTGTGGAAGGTGGAAATGATAAGCAGATGCCTTTTCTTCTTGTCAGGATGTGTATTAGTATACAGCTGATTAGTACATCAGTCAGATAGCGATATCTGCTTGGACTAGTGGCAATGCAGTTTTCCTCAGCATTACAGGATGTCATCTGTGTGGAAATGACAGAACATGACCCTGAATGTCATGTTAGGCGTTAAAGTTGTTCCTGTACTAATTAAGCACCACGCCATGGAGGCATATCACAACACAGAAGCATGTGAGCTTCACATCATTGCCTTCAGAACCTGAAATCTGACATTATCTTGACCAATCACCACCATTAGATTCAGAGATGAAGAATTTGTGGAGCTTTAGCTCCATTCCCCTTCACATCTTTATAAAGACAAGGGAAAGAACGTAGTTTTACCTGTTTCCTTACCTCTTCCCTGTTTTGTTTCCTCGCACTGTCACGTAATTCTAGTCATGTAAGCTCTTAAGAAAACCAAAGCTAAAAGATATTACTCTTAGGAGTCAGTCGTAAATTTTTTTTTATTATTTTTAGTACAAANGTAAATAAAAAACGTGTTGTGTGGTCGGTAGATTAACTTTAACATAGGTTGAACCACTGAGGCAACTTATATTCCCTCCTTAAAACTGTTGATTAATGTTTCAGGTAGCACGAATATTCTGCCAGCGGCTGGAAGCACCGACAATCATCCCACAGCTCCATATCCTATCAAGAGCTGGCAGGGCAAAGAAGGTTATATCACAGTACATATATGACCTCACTGCTTGTTACACACTCAGCATCTTGAACAGAGCCAATTGATACTCAGACAATGACTTCCATGACTTAGTATTCATTGTACTTGCACTATTTGAGATTCTCATCTACTGTGACTGCTTCTTTGATCTTTTAATTTCACAGCTGGTTGCAATGAAAGGACCAGTAGTTAGACCCACCCTTGTGTACTAGTTTATGGCTAATTCAAAGGAAACAAAAAATATGTGCCTTGAACCATTAATTTTAACTATCCTGTGCTTCTGCTGGGGTATGATGCTGTACAAGGAGGTCCACAGAAGATGAGCCCAGTGTCAAAGATAAGAAAATATGAGGCTGGTCCAGTCAGCAGTAACTGACCTGATTCTTATTTCGGAGGTAACCGGATGTAACTGTACAGAAACCATACTGAGACCATGGCCGTAAGTTACATGAACCAGCTCACTGCTCATCTCTCTTGAGCTTTTCACTTCCCCCTGCAGCCTCCTACTCTATATTTCTCTCCAGTTTTATGGTCATTCTATTTCCGTGAGTGCTTGTAGGTGATAAGCATGTGATAAACTCACTAGTGACTAGTACTTTGGGCTGGTGGGCTTACCATAGGATGCAGGCATAATGGGAGAAGTCTTGAGTACTGTCATCCCCTCTGTCCATGGGACTTCTCTTCATTGCATCACTGTGCTACCGTCTGAGATTTCTATGTGATTTTTCTCAGTCCATCCAGACGTATGTCAGCGTAGTACTTATAAATGGCATAGTCACCTACTTAAAGAATTTTAGCCAGGGAATTACCTGTCTTCAAGATTTCACTTAATTTTCACCTATTTAATTTTATAACTTGTACAGTTGGTAAACTGTTTTTAAATAACATACAAATCAAACCCTAATAGGGGGTATGTGGTAGCATAGTTGGTTGAGGCATTATGCTACAAGCTGGAAGGTTGCGAGTTTGAGTCTTATGAGGTGGATATTTTCAGTTTACCTAATCTGTCCAGCCACACTGTAGCCTTGAGGTCAACTTAGTCTCTAACAGAAATGAATACCAGGAATATTCCTGGGGGGTAAAGTCTGAGAACCTTACTGCCAACTGTATACAGAAAATGTGGGAGCCTTGATGTCTCACAACCCTGTGGGCCTTCACATCCTGTTACAGTAATAGCTTTATCTTTTTTATTAGTCCATAATAAGAAATTGAAGGGAAGATTGTTAGGTACTTGACTGTCAGCATCCTGAAAATTGTTGTTTAATGAAGATTACTGTTTTCTGTGTCGTTATGAATTTCAAGAGTTCAGTAAATCCAGTTACTAATCCAAACCCCTTCTGTAGTGACTGAAACATGTGGAAATATTTTTCTAAATATGAGTCAAGTTCATTAATGGCCATGGGGATCCGTTGTGCTGACCACATGACATCCTTTGCCCACAAAAGTTGGCATGTAACTTTGTCGACAAGCGGCGGTCGCTCGGTCGGAATAGTTCACCTGCGCACTACAGGCCACAGAGTTTGTTTTTTGTTTTGAGTCAAGTTCATATCCTCAGTTCTTAATTTGTACGTTCTCTTTCTGTTTTTATTTTGAATTATGATACATATCAGGTTTGTTTCGTGATCTTCCTTTTCATATGAATGCTGCCTGTACGTTACAGATTCACTGTAAAAAGAAATAAAAAAAGATCAAGGTAACCTATACTTGTTATATTTTAGCGTCCTGATGCACTGATTTAGGTCCATGATTTATTTCACCGTCTTCTAGTGCATACACTTATCTACCTCACTCCTCTCTCACCTATACTTCCTAGGGCAGTGGTTCTCAACCTTTGTGAGACTGTGGCCCAGCAAATCTTTTTTTTTATATAAGATGAGGGCCCAGCAGCTGAGAAACAGTGCCCTAGGGCATTCTTTTAATTTATATAAACTAATTCCGGTTGTCTTCACCCATTTACTTGATCATACTGGCTAATACAGTATGCATTCCAAATCCATGATGAATGTTTCCTTTGGTCATGTTACCACTTCATCACTTTAAATCTACTATTTCTGTAACAATAACCTCTACATTTTCATAGTCTTAATGCATTTTTAGTATCCTGGATTATGAAAAAAAATAGTTTCCATAAGGGTGCACCTTGCTAGCACCTGAACCATTAGATGGGTTTTATTCATATCCAGTATTAAAGTATTTATTCATCCTAGGTTAGTGCCCAATGAATCTGAACTTTCCAGCTCCAAAATTAGTGGCCCTTCAGATGGACCTCAGAACAGTTTCATATTAGTACTATACAGAGACTGTAACCCTAATTAAAACTGTGTAAGTCGTATCTTCAGAGAAATGATATGAACAGTAGGGGCAGTGTCTTTGCAGTAATGGTTTCCTTTTTTCTGGGCCTCATTTTCTGTATTCCCCAGTCTGTGCATTGGCAGAGCCCTGTATGCTTTAATCAATGCATAGAAAATATGCGCACTGGGTTGATTAGTTCATTGTGTTTTAACATCACATACTCTCAGATGAAATAAAAGTTTTGTGTCTGCGCATGAAATAAAATAGAATATGCAAGAGTAGAGAAATGGTGTTGTGTATGCACAAAAATGAAAGATGGACTGCTTTGTTACGTTACAGACTGGGAAGACTTTCAGAATATTTCTGTATTATATGCAGAATAGTTGTAAGGCCCACACAGTCTTTACCTGGTTGGTAATATCGATTTTCTCCAAGGGAGAAGGTAGGCAGACAGTGGAGCAGACCTCCTTGATTCCACCTAGTGCTAGACAAAACCCCTGTATCTTCATGGTTTATTAGTAAGAGCAGTGATGACTAAATAGTGTCAAGAATGTCTGTGAGTAAGCAGCCTTATATCACATGTCTTTATGAGGTAACGGTAAGTAAAGTCATGATGAACAAAAATGTGTTTAAGGGGTATGTCATACATTGTGTAAGGAATGTCGTGGAAGAGAACCTTTACATGTTTATTGTGCTCCTGTGTGGTGGTTTTGGTTTTTACATTTATTTTTCTGGTACAAGAGGCCAGAAGTGGCTGCAGTACAAGGGACTTAGTCCAACCCTACTAGCATTACATTTATTTTTCATTTCATGGATCCAATCATTTCCCTGTAGGGCCGGATATAAAACAATTTTATGCTGAAAATAGATTCTAGTATATAGTGGTGGCTTAGCAGTTAGTGACCACTATATATGGTCACTAAGAGATGTTTTAGACTGCGATGATTAGCCATCTGAGATGTCATCGTATGATGACTTTTGCATCAGGATATATATCGGTTAACTGTCCAGCACTTTTTTTTTTATGTTGTTTCATTCTTTCACTCATAGCCTTTATCCATCCTTGCATCTATATGGACCACTTTTATCACTTCGTAATGTACACTGAAGATAAAGGTATAAGGCTTCTGAAAAACAGTGGTAAATATGAACCAGTCTACATGGTGTCACATCCAAGAAAGAAGTGATACTGGTACATACTTTTTCGAAGGCTAAAAATTTTAAACAGTTTAAAATTAAGAATCACATGGGAGGTATGATATTCATCAGATTCGAGAGTCGTCACGTGCTTTTCAAAAGGAAAAAAAAAAATTGTTAACTGTAGCACATCGCTAGCCACAACACAAATAACCATCGTCTATGTTTGAGGCTTTCACGGCGGTGACTATGAAGACAGAAGTCTTCTGGGATTTGGCACCGTGTGTATGTGATGTTAACCGACGTTTCGGGGGAACACATCGCCTCCATCTTCAGGGTGGAAGGGCGTGTTGCCTTGTGATATGTGCAACATTCGTATTCAGCTCAGAAATCGATTGCAAATGGAAACATTACATGTGGCCATGTGAGCATGACAAATAATGCCATCTTGTGGCACTAACTTTTTTAAATTCCCCGTATTTGAACGTTAAGTTTTGCATGTTTCATGTGCTGCCATCTGCGGATAAAGCCACGTCACGTTTGAGCGTAGTGTGAATTCCAAGAAATTAATATAGAAATGAATATATTCCGACTTCTTGGGGATATATCCCATCTCCTGGCCATCGTAGTTCTGTTATTGAAAATATGGAAAACACGATCATGTGCAGGTAATATTACTTCGATGTTAATGCAGCGTAAACGTTAGCTATGTTGTAGCCGGTGCGTTATGAGTATTGCTTCATTTCGCCTACTGTATACCTTACATCCAACCTCATAAAGAGCAAATGATGGTGTTTAGTAGCTGAATAAAAATTTTATGAAAATAAAGATATCAATTTTGTTGTGTTGTCTATATGGGCGATACACCATTACAATTTAACATTTCTGTGTAGATTTTAAAATTAAGGGTCACTGACACTAAGTGAGCTGTTTTTTAATATTTGACAACATTAGAGAGTTCCTATTTGTAGACTCAGTTGAATATGGTATGAGGTTATATTGTATGTTTATCAAATGTGTGTCAAACATGTTCACAGGTATATCAGGAAAGTCGCAAATACTGTTTGCAATAGTTTATACAACACGTTACCTGGATCTCCTCACATCATTTGTCTCAGCATACAACACGGTTATGAAAGTCATATTCATTGGTGCATCGTATGCTACTATTTATTTGATGTACATCAAATTCAAGGCAACTTATGATCAAAATCATGACACATTTCGGTAAGGAAGAATGCGATCATATTGTAAAAGTTACTGTGAATTTTGTATTCATTTTTAAAGCCTGTTGATATTTAACAATTATTTTGCTAAACAGCTTTAACTAATGAGCCTTTGTAATGGAGGTGTAGTGTGTTTGTTCTATTCTAAGAACTGAATTTTTAAATATTGTCAAAATGAACTTCTTGTTTCAGGTAGTTAAGGAGAAAGATGTATAGCATTGGTTTTATAGAAGTGTTGCAAGGACATGCACAAATAAATGCAATTGTCTCCTTTAAAAGTGGGGAGGTGGCTCATATAGAGATCACAGTCTTGTGGGATGCAACATGTGCGCTCTGATAGATACCAGTGTCTGGGAGGAATCTGTTCCCTCTTCTTAAGGGCAGAATAGCAGTATAGCTCAAAAAGAAATGGTAATCTTTGTAATCATTACAATGAGAACTGTGTATATTACAGATCACTTTTACTCATTATTTTTTACTAGATTATGGCTTATTCTGCCTTGAAGATGGATGCAGCAGGTTCCTTTTAAATGCTTTGGGGTACCTTTTTGTCAGAATGCTTGGTGACACATCCACGAAGATGGTAATCGGAGTGAATTATATTTTTTGGGGGAGGAGGCTGTATTTTAGTCCTCTGGGAAGGAAGTAAGTAAGTCATTCTTACTTTGTCTAATTTGCCTGTGTGCATATTTAATTGGGATACAATTACTTTAATTTTTTTTATATACTTTAATTCTACAATGAAGAGCAGTGTCTCATTTGCTACAGATGGTGGTAGGTGTAAGCAGATTTTTATTCTTGGCCCCTGAAAATTGTTGGTGTCGAATTGGGCTCTTCTGGGCTGTGATGCCACGCAGTCTTGTAAGCATATGTGGATGTTTTAGAAGAACGTATTACCTCTGTGTTCACGGTTTTACATTGTGTCACAACCCAGAAAACTACAATTTGAACAACCACTTCTGTGAAATTCTCAAAATTTATAACTGTTTCCGTCCATGGTATGAGTAGCCCTGCCAATGGGCCTAGCGTAGTTTTGTCTGGATGTGGAAACAAAAACAGTTCACAAAATATAATTGTGTTATTGTCTTAGACAATGGATAAAGCTGAAAGTATCGGTAATAAACAGTGTGTCACACAATCATAAAAAATCTTAGAAATTGTTGTGAATAAAGAATTGTGTCCTCAGGGATATAGTGCTGTGACAGTCAGGTGATGGTTTTGGAGGAATATATTGCCTCACTTCATCATTTTTCTTTATCTTGGCAGCACAAACAGAGCAGACAGCATGGCAGTAAAGTTTAAAGTTATTTGAATGACCTCTTAACATATAAGTACCAAGCTTTCATTTGTATCTTTGAACTGATAGCAGACTAAGTGCATGAGTACATACTGTGCAGAATGAATAATATGTCTGTACCTATTCTTATGACATAGTAAGACGAGCTGTATGAATTTTGTGGTAATGTACAGTTTTTGTTTGTAGGATTGAGTTTCTGATCGTGCCAGCAGTTGCCCTGTCTCTCCTCATCAATCATGAGTTCACAGTTCTGGAGGTGAGGGCCATGTGTTTGTCTTTCTGCTAAAAAAAAAAAAGGAATATTAGCCAAAGAGAGAATTTAGCATTGGTGGGGATGTAGAGTGGTCACAGAATTTTGTAACAATGAAAAGTCCTCTGGTAATTATTTTCATGGGGTTAGGTAATGAAATAATTGTTTGGGTCCATCATTCAAAATTTATGTGCAGACTGCACAATTGTCAGTAATGATTCTTAGATAGGTTTTTGTTATGCATCAATTTTAAATATTTTGACATGATAGAATAGTTTAACAATGGAAGTCATCTGCTGCTAGGTAACAGCTCAATAAACACATATTGTGGCAAGGGATATGGGCAAAACAATAGAGGAACTGCTGGAAACAGTGTCTTCTATGTTGTTCTGTGACGAGGTTTTGTAGCAAGTACAACTGGACAAGCCAAGTAGTCAGTCAGTGATGGGTATTGATGCCATGAGAAATGTTTGAGAGTCAAAAGAGAACATTGCAGGGAGCCGGTACCAGGCAGTGACTATTGAAGATGTAGCAGACTGAAAAGACTTAGTGTTTGCAGCAGTGTTTTGTTAAATTTGTAGATTAGTGGTAGTGTTGTTAATACTTGTAGTTACCAGTTCAGTAAATCTAATTATCAGTTAAAACCCCATGTCTAGTCACAAAAACGGGAGAGTATTTTAGTTAAAGTGTAAGCAAAGTTGCTGCTATGCTTAATTACGAGGGTCGATCAATAAGTACCCCTGTTTGAAGACAGGTGGCGTTGCTGAGGGAAGTTGGCATAATGTCATGTACTGCCATCTGTCAAACGACACCATACTAAATTTCAGACTGATTCATAGGTTAGTTTTTATTTGGCAGCCAGTTGCATCAGACATGTTTCGTCTTTCTCGATACAATGGAAAAACTGCAATATCGATCTGTCATTCGCTTTTTATTTTTGGATGGAAAAACATGCGAAGAAATAAAAGCAAAGTTGGATGCCGTCTATGGGGACCCTTCACCATCTATGACAACCGTGAGATATTGGTTCAACAAATTTAAACGTGGTCGTACATCTGTTTTTGATGAGGAGCGGCCAGGCTGCCCGGCAGATGTCGTTACCGAGGAAATCGTTGAAAAGGTCCATGACATGATTCTCGCTCATCCCCGAACTAAAGTGCGCGAAGTAGCAGAGGCCGTAGGTGTGTCGTACGGAACGGCAATCAATATTTTACATGATAACTTAAGTATGAGAAAGGTGTCGGCCCGATGGGTGCCGCTATTGCTCACGGACAACAAGCGGATACAGCTGTCAATGTCGAAGCGGTGTTTGGACCTCTTTAAGCGAAATTCGCAGGAGTTTTTGCGTTGAGTCATCACCATTGGTGAAACCTGGATACATTATTTTATACGCCAGAGACCAAGCAACAGTCAAAACAATGGATTCTTCCGGGTGAATCTGCTCCGAAGAAGGCAAAGACGGTCCCATCGGCCAGAAAGGTCATGGCCACGATTTTTTGGGATTCGAAGCGAATAATCCTCATGGACTTTTTGCAGAAAGGAAGAATGATCACGGGGCAGTACTACAGTGAATTATTGGGCTGATTCAATAAGAAATTGAAGGAGACATGGCCCCATTTGGCTAAGAAAAAAGTGCTGTTTCACCGCGATAAGACACCCGCACATTCATCCGGAATTGTCGTAGCCAAATTGCATGAACTGTGCTACAAATTGCTGCCGCACTCACCGTACTCGCCCGACCTGGCTCCCTACGACTTTTTTCTGTTCCCCAACATGAAAACATGGCTCGGGGGAAAAAATTCAGCTCAAATGAGGAGGTTATTGCTGAGACAGAAGCGTATGTTGAAGAGTTTGACAAATCGTATTTTTTGGAGGGGTTAAAGAAATGGCAGAAACATTGGGAAAAGTGTATCGACCTCAAAGGAGATTACGTCGAAAAATTAAAAAAAAAAAGTGAAAAACTTGTGTCTTTATTCCTAACACGGGTACTTATTGATCGACCCTCTTAAATACCTCACCATTAAGACTTGTTCATCACTTTGGCACTGGATGTAGGTGAGTGGTCAGCTTCGTGCTCTGGCCACTTTAAGCCTGAGGGGAAGACCTCCTGAGACCCATTGGATATGAGGATGTGTGGCTCTCAGGGCTGGTCTGGTTGCTTTGGAGAGGAGAGTGAACTCTTATGAGTACTGGGAATCAAACCACAATTCTTGGTCATACATCCCATACCACAGTGACTGTACTGACTGGGCTGTCACAGTATTTTGGCTATTTTAGTTAAAATTTTAAATATTTGTATTATTGATAGCAGAAGCCTTATATATGTTTGTCATCATAAGATTACTGCAGGAAGATAATGAAAATTATTTATTGTAGAAGGATGGTTCATGGACCATTTTTATTCAGACGTAGTTTAAATTGGACACTTGTTTATTTTCATAAGTTACACAGATCCACCCAGAAGCTTCCAGAATCTGATTTTCCTCTTAAGGAAGGATGAGATTTCATGAAATATGTTTCTTTTGGATATTTTATAGTGTCAGATTGTGTAAGGAAGTGGGACTTGAACCACTGGGTGCGCAAAAGAACAAAATCAATTTCATTTTGAAGGTGACTGCCTTGCAGGATGTGACACCATGTTGTTTTGCTACAATTGGACATTATCATCCTTTTTTATGTAAAAGAAACAACATTTTGGAGACTGGATCCTGTCTCTGCATTCAAGTAAAAGGGTACTCAGTTGAGCCCCCTTCAAAAGAGCTAGTCCCTATCTCCAGACATCTGCACCAACGCAGGAGGGAATATATTAACCAAGCACTATGTGAACCACTTGTGAGAGTTAATACAAACATTAAAAACTCCACACACACACACACACACACACACATGAGGCCTAGTACCTATATCCATGTGCTCTTTCATGGATATTGTTAAAATCAAAATGCTATCAGAATAGAAGTCACATCTAAAGGGAAAAAGTCTCCATATGCTTCCAACATAGTTCGGTCAATTGGGCCTAACTGAGTAGGTTCCACTTGAAAGTGGAGACAATCCAGTCTCCAAAACGTTGTGTTTTAGATGGATAATATCCAGAAACAATTAATTTTATTACTATACTGTCATTACAAACTTTTAGATCTTATTTATGTACTTCTTTTGGCTTATTTTGGACTTCATCATCTAGTATGTAAAAGACAAAAGACCAAGACGTTTCGGAGACTGGATCTGTCTCCATCTTCAGGTGGGTAGGGAAGGATAAACCTACTCAGTTGGGCCCGTTAGAAAGTGCTAGTCTCAATCACCGGACCAGTGATCCAGTCTCCAAAACATCGTGGTCTTTTGTCTTTTACATACTAGACGATGGATGAAGTCCAAAATAAGCCAAAAGAAGTACAGTATACACCATCGTTAGAATCCTTTCAAGTCTACCTTATTTATGTAGTTGGTACTTTGTTACCAATATTTTGGTGGGAAGTACTGCTTCTGTGTTCAGGATAGAAGAGTAGGCCAGCCAATCATGGGGAAGAATGGTACAGGCATGGAGAGGAAAGAGTGGAACCTTCTATTTCCGCTCTTAACTTACTCTTCAACTCAAGAGATGGAGGCAGTAGTTTCCCCTGATACATTCATAATAATATACCAGATTGTACAGTGTCACATTCCAGAAGGTGGTTCAAAGTCACCATCAATAAAACTTCAAATCCATTTTCCTTTTATTTAATGCATCAGTATTTTTCTGAGTTATGCCCAGAAATTCAGGAATATTTGGTTTTTATTGGTTAAACCAGTGATAACAGTAGATGCATATCCGTCCTCAGCACTTATTCAGGTGGAAGTAGATATTAATGTAGTGGCAGAAATACATAATTCATGTGCCACTCTTTTATGCAGTTTAGCAACTTGATGGATAATGTGGTTTGTGAAAAAAAGCTCATTTGTCTGAAACTTAAACATTTTTGTATGCTCTGTGTTGAATGATACAGTCAGATGAACTTCACTTCTGCTTCATATTCAGAAGGTGCTGGGTTCAAACATCTGCCTGGAGACAGGTCTCCTGACCTTGGGTTTTTATGGTCTTTCTGAATCCCTTTAGGCAAACGGTGGGATAGTATGTCAGATTAGGCCACAACCACTTCATATGATGTTAATGTTTACTTTTCATCCAACCATTCCATGCTTATAGCGTTGTTAAATAAACCGTACAGAAATGCAGTATAATTTGATACACCCTAAATACAGCTGAATCGCTATTTAATGAATCTGTTTGAGAATGGTTTTTCGTATGCTGAATCAGTGTTTTTGCTGAATAGAACTTAACACAAAATTAAACCAAGAATCTATTCTAGTTCTTGTACTATTTACTGTGTACAGTTATGATAAAATAACTTCTTTATGTGGGTAGCTAAAGAAACTATTGACACCCACAGATATACAGTTATAATTTATATTATCCAATTAATATCTAAGATAATTAATGATGAAATAAACAGTGAAAGAACCTGAGTTGAGAATGAAAGCCTCTATGGGTGCCAAAAATAATGTGGTTTTGTTGTTTTTGTTATCAGAAACCATTTGCCAAAATTCTTGGTTGTGCAATAATGATTTCTGCCGGAGAGTAAATGTTAATATTGGTTGATTGTTGTTTCAACCATCAATTGAAATATATGTCCCTGAAGGTTAGAAATTTCTTACACTGAATACAGATTTCAACATTATATGGGAATTAAATTTGCTTAGTGGGGGGTGGAGTCCAACTTGGTCCACTCAGCACAGCGACCACTGGTTGGCCTATTATAGCCTGCCCCGGGTGATTATGATGATGGAGAATTTGGTGGAATGAAGATTGGCAAGGGAAACCGAAGTACTCGGAGAAAACCTGCTCCAGCGCCACTTTGTCCACCACAAATCACACTTGACCTGACACTGGATTGAACCAGGGCTGTCGCGGTGGGAAGCTAGCGACTAACCGGTTGAGCTATGGCACGGCCTATTATATGGGAAAATAATGCATGTTTTATGTTTGGTATCAACTGGGAGCAGGAATTATATTTGTTTAATATGGAATTTCACCAAATGCTGCAATACTAAATCAAGATTTCAGTGTGTTTTCTCACATGTTCTTAATGTTACAGGTGTTATGGACATTCAGTATCTACCTTGAATCAGTGGCTATTCTGCCTCAGCTTTTTCTAGTGTCAAAGACCGGCGAGGCAGAGAGCATCACTTCGCATTACCTCTTTGCACTTGGCTCATATCGTGCCCTGTATCTTCTCAACTGGATCTACCGCTATTATTTTGAAAATCATTATGACCTCATTGCTGTTGTAGCTGGAGTTGTGCAGACTGTTCTTTACTGTGATTTCTTTTATCTTTACATTACTAAAGGTGAGTGTCCTGTGAGGTAGAAATGACAAACAGATGCCTCCTCAGCCTCATGATGCTGTCTGACATGCTCATTATAGCAGCCGGCCCCCCACATTATAATATATTGCAGCATCCTGTTGCACTGTGTAGATCTGATTTTGCATCCCACTTTTTGCCTTCTATGTGAATCGTTGGTTAATATTCACTCATCTTCTCTTTATTGTGTATCTCATATTCTCTACATGTTTTGGCCTAAGCAGCCATCCTCATCTGTACACATTGTTATGATTAAGGAATCAGGTGCTCACTGTAATACTCTTCTGCTTTTCTTATGTAATTGCCTTGGACTAATTTTATATTATGTGTGTTAGTGTACTGTTAGCGGCCTCCGTAGTCTAGAGGTACCGTTCCCACCTCATGACTCATGGTATGCGCGTTCAAACCCGGCGGAGGTCGTGGAATTTTTAAGGGCGGAAAAATTCAGGGAACAAGTCCCCCAGGAGGGACTTTAAGCCGTGGGTCCTGTGTCGTGGCTTTATGGCACATAAAAGAACCTCATATCTCCAAAGGAGGTCACAGCCAAATTCAAGAACATTTCTCGCCCAACAGTAGTCTCTAACGCCTCTGATAGATGGAGAAAGCATTATAGATACCGCTAAGCCAGTTGAGGCCCAACTCGCTGGCTCGGTCAGGACCGATGGTACCCACCAATATCAGTAGGGTATAGAGACTGGCAGAATATCATAAAGGGAAGCACAATGGACCAATACTGGTCTAAGTGCATGGGGAAACCCACCGTCTCCAATAACTAACTAACTAGTGTACTGTTGTTATGCATGTGTTTTCCTTATCTGTAATATGCGATGGGTTATATTAGAGTTTTATTGTGAGGTACATCTTTATGCATATTCTATCTGCATATCTGATTTTTCTTACAGTTTGTTGGTTTGTTGATTGATTTTTGGTTTGATTTGTGGCTGTCCTGAATGCTTTGTTAGGACAGGCTTGCTGCTTGGCGGTCATCCATCACGGTCATTTGTTGTAGATGTTTCTATGATGTCAACTGTGTTGATACCTAGGATGTGGAATGTGTTATGTGCTGCTAGCTGGTGTTCATTTCCTGTACCATTTTGAATACAGCACACACCATGCACTGCATCCTAGGTATCAATGCAGTTGACGTCATAGAAACACCTACCACAAATGACCATGATGGCTGACAGCCAAGCAGCAAGCTTCCATTCAAACAGAAACATTGAGGACAGTCACACACTGAACCAAAGATCAGTTAACAAGCCAGCAAAACTGTAAGTAACATCAGATATGCAGAGAGAGAATATAGATAAAGATGTACCTTATAATAAAACTCTAATATAATCCATCACATATTACAGATAAGGCATAGTAACAGTCCGTTAACCCACATAACGTAAAGCGAGTCCAAAGCAATCACATAAAAGAAGCAGGACAGTATTACAGCAGAGCAATAGATTCCTTAATCACAACAACCTGTATGCCTAATGATGGCCAGCTGGGACAAAAATGTAGTGATATACAATAAAGGGAAGAAGATGAATGAATATTAACAGACGGTGCACATAGGCGGAAAACAGTGGAATGCAAAGTCAGATCCCCACATTATATTTTACCATCCTTCATACTCAGTGCACTGGTAATTTTTAGCATTGCATGCCATTTTCATCATCAAGTTTTAAGATAATCCTTGGGTGTTGGGTACGTATGAAAAGATGAAAATGTGAACTCTCTAACCTATTCCTTATAGTTACTGTGTGTGGCAAAGTCAATAGAAAGTCCGTCGAGTGTAACAATTTATAGGTCACTTCTTTATCACTTCTGCCTTACATGTTTCGGTTTAATAAAACCATCATCAGAGGCACATAGTACAAGCATGAAAACACTGCCGTTGTTTAAGATGTACACAGTTATGTTTGCTGCGTGAACGCTGCTACAATATGTCGACGTGTAAAAGCACAACACTTGCTAGGATTGTTGAATGCACGTTCAGTTCTCACATTCATCCGAAACTGCTCTCAAGTTAAAACGCCAATGTTAAAATATTTAAAATTTAAAACATTTGAAGTAAAATGTTAAGCTCCTCCTTGTTAATTCATCCCGAAGATGGGAGATGTCAGCTTGAGGATGTATGGCTTATGGTTAGATGTTTCCTATGTGCTGTGTGTTTACTATGTGCCTCTGATGATGGTTTTATTAAACCGAAACATGTAAGGCAGAAGTGATAAAGAAGTGACCTATAAATTGTTACACTCGACGGACTTTCTGTTGACTTTGTGATTGATAGTGTAAGGGACCAAAAATGAAACAATTCAAAATACTGTGTGTGGTTTTGTTGGCTGTTCTTGGCAGAATGCACAGTAGATTTGGTTGAGTGCACTGAGATAAGAATTGTGGGATTTGTATGGGTTATAATGGGGCCATAGTTACAGTGTGTTGTGGCCATGCCATAGCTCAGGTGGTTAGTCGCCTGCTTCCCATTGCGGCAGCCCAGGTTCGAACCTGGGTCACGTCATGTGGGATTTGTTGTGGACAAAGTGGCACCGGGGCAGCTTTTCTCCAAGTACTCTGGTTTCCCCTGCCGTCATCACTCGTTCTTATGTTTGTAAGTCATGAGTGGATACAATCAGTTTTGGATCTGCTTTCCGACTTCACACTTTCCTGTAGCTCAGAAAACTGTTTACCCAGTTCACACTGTTTTCTTATGTAATGTTTTCCTCTGAGATAGAAGAGAGCTTTTTTCTTTCTTCACACTTTCGTGTGGGCATGAAAGCAGTTGTTCTCTAACTTGTCACTTTTCTGTGGCCCAGGAAATGTCTTTTCTTATTTTGTGTTTTCCTATGGGCCCTGAAGAAGCCATTTTGACATCCAAGGTATCTCTGTGGTCCTGAAGAGGGTTGTTTTCTCACTACCAACTTCCCATTGAGCATGAAATTTGGCTGTTCCTTCACTTCACACTTTTCTGTGACCCAAAAAATGACAATTTTCTCAGTTATGAATCCACCTTTTATATTGGGCTGGGCTCTGTCTCCTGTCCTGCCCTATGAGTTTCAGTGGCTCCTCCCTACATGAGACATGCCTATGTAACCTGATCATGTCATCCTCCATACTTCAGTCCTGAAGTTGGAGGGCACAACTTTGATATCCACAGTCACGTGTACATGGTTTCAGCCCAGACTACCACTATCTGAACATTTTGCTACTGTTATCACTTATCATGTATTTATTCCAGTTTGATTGCTCCTCACTGATAACACATGTTACTGGCCTAATTCCATTAGTACATGCTCCAACAATGTGATATATCAACTTCATGTGCTTATAGCAGGAAGTATACAGTACCAGTAGCCAAGTCTCACTCACTCTTTGACAGATGGTTTTACAGCATACCTGTCACCCACCACTGCTGTTCAGACGTGTTCTCCACCAAACATAATTTCCATTTTATATGGGTCAGTGGATGAAAAATTTCCAGTTTCATATTCTGCCCCACAATCTTTTCTTTTTTATTTATTGCCATCTCCTTCCACTCTCTTTGCTGTCTTCCCAGTACCCAACTGAACCCTCTTCTTCTTAGTTGTTGCATTGGATTTCTTGCTTCTAATTATTAGTTATAATGCCCCTCTATATCCTTGAACAATTCTTAATTTTTACATAGCCAAATCGTTGTAATCATTTCTCATCTAGCTTGACTAATAAGTTCTGATATTCAGCTTCCCAAAAAAATTTTGTTTCCATTCTATCCCTTCTTGTTTTCCTCTCAGTGCTTCTCAAAAATTTCATGGTCATTAGCAGATTTTAGCCATGTTCCTCTTTGCAAGAATCCATGTTTTTGCATTGTATGTTAGAATCCATTTAAAATGTAGCACTCTGATAGCGGTGTCTTTGTATCGACTAAGTTATTCACTGGATATCTGAGGAATTTGGGTTCGATTCCTGGCAGAGGCAAGAGATATTTCTCTTCTCCACAGCGTCCATATTGGCTGTAGGACCCACCAAGCCTCTTGTCCATTGGGTTCTGTTCAGTTTCCTTTTCATCTTTCCCCCAAAATAAAGCATAATTCAGTCAATGAGTTAGCATAAAAGTAATATTGTAGGCTTGTATTTTAGAAGTGCATAGTTCAGACTTCAACCTGGACACTGAATTGAATTGAATTGAATTTATGTTATATTTTAGCGTCCTGTTGCACTGATTTAAGTCCATGATTTATTTAATCCGTCTTGCAGTGCATACACTCATTTATTTCCTTCTCTCCCTCGCACTACATGTTTCGGCATAATAATGCCATCTTCAGGTGCTTACTTATCCACGTCAAACCAGTTCATTGCATGCCATGTTCACACATTAAAATAACTAAAATATGTATCTATCATATACATTGTNAGAACAAGTCAAAAGGTTACATACATAAGTACAGGCAATTTTAGCTTAAAAATTAATATAACTTAATTTTACATCATTCTCTATTTACATTGAAGTATTCATCTAAAGAGTAGAAGGAATGAGCATGTAGATAATTCTTTAACTCTGATTTAAACTTTTTAGTATCATTGCCCAAGTTTTTAATACTTTGTGGCAGATTGTTGAACACTTTTATGCCAGTAAAGTAGACTCCTTTTTGATATACTGATAAAGTTGATGAGGGTAGGTGATTATGCTGAGGTTCTTTGTTGATTTCCTCAGTCTCTCCAGGCAGATGCTGGGATAGTATGTCATTAGGCCATGATGACTATTTCCTTCCAGTTCATTATAAGGGACAAAATCTGTCCATGAACAGTTGTTAATTTTTAGAGACTTGGAGGCACTAAGAAGACTCCATAGGTAGAAAACTATTTAAAATAAAAGGGACCCCCCAGTATAAAAACCTTTATATAATCACTTTATGTGTTTCTGTGTTTGTTGTGTATATTGGATATGTATCCTATGGTATACTTCCATGAATACCCCTTCACTTGGTTTTAGTGGATATTGGCGATAACGGACACCCTGTCCCCCCTACCAGTCCATTCTAATGAAGTTTACTGTATGGTTTTTGCGTCTGGTCTTGTGATTTGCTTTTGTTAGCAATTTCCTTGATCACAGGCTTAAGCAAGGCTGGTGAGGGGACACTAGTCATACTACAGTACTTGGTTTGAACCTTCCTGATTCTCTGATTTTAACATAATTTTTGCAATTTAAAATGTTTTTAGTGTCTAAATAGCTGCCATTGCATTTTTATTGTTTTCCAGTGCTTAAAGGGAAAAAGCTACAGCTTCCAGCCTAATTGCAGTGCAAAATTGCTTACATTTCAAGATGTGAGCTGGAAAGAAACAAGTGCATGAATAACTATGTGTTGGAACATGAGTGAAGTAGAAGCTCTTCATGTGTGTTTTGCATAGTTCTCTGAACTGTTTATTGTGTTCAGCCGCCATCCCATCTTCATGTGACAAAGTTTTGTGTTTATTTAAATATATTTACTCAAGCACTACACTGATCTTGCTTTTAGGACTTCGTAAAATCAATATGGCAGACACATTACATCATTTGTGAAGGGAAACTGTTGTTAGGTTAGGCGCAAGTGTTTGTTGTTTTATATATATGACCCATATGCTTTTGCTGGTGTATAATTTAATTAGTGTACATGTAAGATGGAGTTTTTTTGTCTCAACATCTGTTTACAATTAATTTTGAAACAATGACATTGAAACCAAGCAGTCAATAAACTGTTAGGCATTGCACACATATGTGCTGTCTTATAGGGCAAAAGTAGGGAATATAAAACAATATTCACTTGTCAGACTTTGGGTATTTAATATTTCACTTGTCTTTCAGTTCAGAAATGTAATGAATTTTGTATTACTTGAGGTGTCAGCAAAAGTATGCAAAATTTTTAATTCAACATTCAGTTCTTCATGCTTATCAGTCTGGTCCTGTTTATGTAATGCCTTGAAAGCAATTAGAAATTCCAACAATTCGTTTACAAGCCACAGAGTGGCAGTCCAGCTGTGGGTTTGCTATTTCTAAGCCTCTGGACAGGCTCTGTGTGCCAGCATTTCCCCCAGCACTGATGTAACAGTTATCCTGCTGTATCTCCAGTTTATGTGTTACCTTGAAAGCAATTAGAAGTCCCACCAGTCATTTGCTAGCCAGCGAGTGGTAGTTTAGTGGTAGGGTTGCTACCTGAAGCCTCTGGACAAGCTCTGACTGCTAGCATTTCCTCTAGCACCAGTGTAACAATTATTGTGCTGTATCTCATGTATCAGAGCTTTTCCAGTGAAAAGAGAGCATGTCATAGGAAGGTGAGGTTGGCAATCGTACCCTGTTGGCTTCTTATTGGAAAGAACACAGGAACATGATGCACTTTGAAAGGTTTCCAAAGTAGTTCTTAAGATATCAACCAAAAATAAAGAGACATTTTGGAAAAACCTTTGAAACAGTGGAAGGATTCTCTTTTGTAATATTTGTAACAGGCCTGAATAGGCCAAATTCTGGAAAAGATGATGATATTGATATTATTCCTTTTTGCTTTTGGATTGTTGTGTAAGAATAATCTTGATAGAACTTAAATAGAGGAAATATGATTGGTGGAATATGGCTGCAGCCATGGAACTCTCAGTACAAGGAATTTACTGTATGCGTCTGTGAATGTTGCAGTACTTCAGAATGTGTAATTATTCCGTTTAAATTACAGTTAGTAAGATACCATTATTTTTCCAGTTAAGTATCAAATAATGGATGTCATGTATGTGTGATGTGAAGTATTTGAGTAAACATATTCAGTTTTTCTTGCTGTGTGATAAAATAATGGGCATTTGATCTACAGTATCTGGACACTTTGTTTACAAAAAGAAAAAAGCAGTTGTGTGAATTTTCAGGTAGAAATTTATCAGACCAATAAAAGAAGATGGATGGAAGGTTCTGATATAAGAATCTGGAAAAGATTTTGATTTAAAGTGTGGCGATGTATGACACATATGGCAACTAATGAAAGACAAAAATGAATGCCAAGATTTACATGACTGTAAGCTGCAGGAAATAAATAGTCATACTCTTACACACATCATTTGTATAACAACCATTCCTCATTGATTTTTTTAACTTGAGTCTTTCCAATTTCACTAGCTACTATAAATGCCAAATTTAAACATGTATAGCTTTGTTTTTGTTTAATCTAAGAATAAGAAAAGTGTTTGTTTTAAAAGAATTTGGCACTTGGAACTTTTGTGAAACAGAATAGTTTTGTGAGACAATTTAAGTGTTGATGTCGACAGACTGTATACATTTGCACATTAGGTGCCAATACATATTGAGTTTTTCTGATATTTCTGGACTATTGCAGTCAAAATCTGCAGAGATAAATATATGTGTAGATACCANACAGGTTATAACTGGCAGTTTCTAGCAGTGATATTATTTGATCTTTTCTGAAAAGTGTTTGACAGTATTTTTATTTTCTTTCACTTTAATCCACTTTGAATGACATTTACAAGAGTTCATTAATAATTTATTATTATTGTACACCATGGCATAAAAATAACACATGTTTTCTAATGTGAATACCTAAGTTATGTGTTGACAAGGAAACCATGGGTCAAATTTTAGGCCAAGACAGAACATTCAGGTCCAGATCAAGTCTGTCTTTTTCTTGGGTGTTTTCACCCAGTAACATATTTTAACTATAATTTAAATCCACAGTCATTGCGTTTGGCTTCATATTGCACATTAGGGGCCAGTGATGGTTTTGATCCATTACAGGTTTTAAACACCAACATCTCTCTACAGGTCAAGTCCACCAATAAAGCTCTGTATGTGTGTGTGTGTGCGCTTACACTGTCAAGAGATGAAGTAAGATGTAATCAAAGGCTTGCCATAAAATGTTCAAAGCTGACCCAGAAAATGAGGGACACCCTAGTACTGTCAACAGATGAAGTACGTCACAAGAGTTACAGTAAGATGTTCCCTGCAGACCGTAGAAATTAAACACATGCAGTAAGATTTAAAGGTTCGCTAAAAATGTTCACTGTGGATTCAAAAAAAGGAAATGCACACTAAGAATGTCAACAGATGAATCAGTGCCCATAAACAAAGACAATATGGCACACAGTTTCTGGCATAATTCATAGAGCCTGCTTTCCCCTTGCAGTTTCTCATGCTACAAGTAACATTTACCTTGCATGTCTTTCCTGCATGATCCCAAACAATGGCAAATTCTACAAGTTGTGTTTCCAAATACCTCCTGTTGTGTCTGAGGGGATTTCACTTGCTTTTAGAACCCTCATAGAAGGAGGTTCCACAAATACATGCGGTATCTGTAAGATGTGAAAGTAATAATTACTTTAAGAACATATTTATTTTATTAATTATAACAAAAATATTAAAGTGCCTAATGAATATTTTTATGCTTTGCTTCCTGTTGTGCATATATAGTCAGGGTTTCTGTACCATCACACAACACGTGATACTTTGGTCATTAAACAAAAACTGATTGGATTGAATTTACCAATGAGTCAATCTGTGTAGTGTATCAAATTAAACATGCTGCATGTCTCGGTCTTGCTGACCAGCTTCTGGTATATATGTGTAATATCACAAATACATTATGCTTTTCATGAATATGTAGTTTAAAATGGATCAATTTGTTTTGTCAATATAGTTAAAGTTTCGTAATTGATGAAGTAAAATGTATAATATACAATGTGAAAAGTTGTAAAAATACATAAACATGTATATATAACACAGAATTAATGGGTTCTTGAACTTTTCCCATCATCCAGAATTCTAGGTAATAGAGGACACAACGTTTTGGAAACTGGAGATGTTTCTCTCTTCAGGTGAGAAAGGAAGACACCTACTCAGTTGGGCCCCTTAGAAAGAGCTAATCTCAATCAGTGTATATATAAGTCGTGAATATACTGGATGGTGTTCTGAGTGGTGTATTCATATTTTTACATGAATTTTAGTATCTTGGTGTGCCGCCAAAAAGCCAGAATGGATTAGGAGATCAGGGTTGATTTCCTAGGCAATGACCAATGTTCCCACGACAGTGCCTAGCAGTTGCCTAAACAACAGATGTGTTACCCCAGAGATGAAAGAATATCCATGGAAACGAAAACTATCGGTGGTTTTCTTCTGATATAGCGGCCGTCTGCCGCCTATGTCCTTTATTCCCTTTCTTCCTTTTGCACTCTTTCTCTGAGCGTCCTTACTCTCTGGATCCTTTCCTCATCCTTAATCCTGATACAGTTTCTTGTGACGACGCTTCTCTTGTGCCAGGCGACTCTTACATGACTGGATAGACAACTTCCTGTTGTTTTATCTGCTGTGCCACTCTCGCACGGCGGCTCGTCCCTCTGTGGGCGGCAGCTGCTTATCTTCAGCACCCATCCTTGCCCTCAATCTGTTCCTTCGGATATCAGTTTCAGGCCCTATGCCTCTTCTTTGATCTGCTGACCAGCATCATTTCGGCAACTTCTTTATGGGCCTCTCATTGTGCCACCTTAGGTTTCATGTCCACTGAGGTCAGCTTCTCCCATTCAAGACTTGCCTCTGTTTCTTGGCAGGCCATTGTCTCTTTTCGGCTAGTCGCCCTCATATCGGTACTCCTAGGCACTGTCATGGGAACGGTGGTCATTGCCTAGGAAATCAACCCTGATCTCCTAATCCATTCTGGCATTTTGGCAGCACACCACAATATTATTCTTATATACAAGATTTTTATTCACTTGATGGGTTCATGGCCCTGCACTTCATGGTGACCAGTGCACCGCTGGCTGCCAGGCCCATGCAAATTTTGCTGATGAATCAGCTTGCCAGATGGCCGATAACATTCGGAATAACGTAGTTGCAATTAAAAAATCATAGGAGATGTTAAAAATGCCATCCTCTTTACATGTAGATATTTTGTGCAATTAACTGTTTCATTAAAAAATCAGGTACAACATTCCTTCTTGCACTTAACAGCACATGAGACACAAACTTTCACTAGATCACTTCAGCAATTGTTTTGCCATTCTTGCACTAGACTTTGACACTCCAGTCTCTTGAGCTAGACATTTTAGTGATTTTCTAGGTGTAAGTTGAAGTCTGGTCACTATGTCATCTAACTTCTCAGTAAGCACTCGACAATTATATTTTTGTTTGTTATGTTTTAAGAGTCCCATTGTTCTAAGTTTATTCACCAGACTGTTAACTGTTTTTGTGCTTGGAATTATTTCATCATGAAATTTATGTCAAAATTATCGCCAACACTTTCTAGCAGATCCATATTTCACACAGTTGTCATACAGAAATACGTGTTGCTCAAAAGCATACCAGGCCATGACGTACAGCACTGCTAACTGAAACTTGAGAATAAACTCCCACGCATGAACTGCATGAATTGCACTGCTTGCTGTAAAACATAATGCTCTGAAGCGGTCTACAAATTAATTACTTCCCTATGTTAAAAACATTATCAGCAAAATTTGTATGCACCTCGTAGCAGGCAGCACACCAGCCGCTGTGAATGGCAGAGCCATGAACTCGTCAAGTGAGTAAAAATCCTCCCTGTACATGTGTAGCATAACTTTAGGTAGTGTTATCCTGTGTATGTTCAGAAGATCACCATGTTCTTTTCTGTATGGCTTACCCATGCATAGACATGATATGTGGGTGTGTGCATGTTAATATGTAGTAATACACATTTTGCAGTACTGGATATATGTCACTGTCGATCAGTAAGTTTCTGATTTCTACGAAAGTGGATATTTAATGTGTAAGGGGTGAATGTGCTGTGGTTGCTTTTATGTGGGTTGAATCTTCTGTCTGTAGCATGTTCCAGATGTAGTCTCTATGAGGAGCGGTAAAAGGTTTTACATTTTCCAACATCAGAAAACAAAAACAGATCCATTTTAAACCACGTATTCAGCGTAATATATTAATAATTTCATATGTATACAACTGAAGATGGTCAGCATTATGGAAACGGGCAGTATTTTTAATATGATATACTAAACAGAGTGATGCAGTGGTACGTTTTATGCTATCACTTATTATATAACAGCGAATATATCACATGTTGTGCGATGGTACAGAAACCTTCTCTAATGAATGTTCATTTGTTTCTGTTCAAGCATGCAAAGATCAATCAAAGAATTTACAGAGTCTTTTATTGGCACTTGAATATACCCACACTGAAGAAATTATGGAAGCAATAGAATAACAATAAAATTCTGTTTGTACAATTCAGTGTAGTTTATGCTCCCTTTCATTAACACTGGGGGAAGGTGGAAAAGGAAAATTACCCTCCCTTCCTATGACTTTAGGGTATGAGGCTGAGATTATCTGTTCTCAAAGGTACAACCATTGATAAAAAGTTTCTACTTAGCTGCCTGTGAGACATGTTGAATATGAAACTGAAGAAGTATTCAAGAAAATGGTATAAAATGTAACATCCTTCTTTCAATGATGTATGTTGCAGCCTGTCAAGTATTTCTTCTTCATTTATGCCTGAAGACCATTCTACATCATAACTGCCACTAAATTAGGTTTTAATCACAAAGCTTTATTTTGGAAAATGTAAATTACTGCATTTTGACATGTGATTATTTATGAGAATTATTTATTACATTTTAAATTAATGAGTCCTACCAACTTTATGTAAAATTCAAATTTCATAGCTAATTAATTCTGAATGGGCAAAGGCCAAAAGGTTCTGATCTGGGAAGGTAGAAGATTATGAAGAGGCTTAAATTAATGAGAGAAGTTTATTACCCATAACTTGATGCTGTCAAAAGTTTCTCCCATGGTTACTGTATCTGGGAATGTGTTTCCCTCTCTTCCTTATTACAAGGGGCCAGGTTAGCTCATTTGGTATAGCTGCTAGGCTATGAGCTGGATGACCAAAAAACCAGGCTCGATTCCAGGCAGAAGTTCAACAGATTTATTCTCAGTAGCATCCAGTACTAGTTCTGGTTCCCAACCAGCCTAATGGGGGCTGTTTCCCTAGGGGTAAAATGACCGGGGCCTGAAGCTTGCCACTCACACCTATCTAGTGTAAAGATTCAGAATGGTACAGCAATATCTCCACTCCTACACGCATCTTAATCCTTATTACTGGTCCCACTGTTTCCACCTGTTACATAAATGGTTCAACATTATTTGGAAAAAACTGAAATTTTCCTGATCTTGGTCTAATTCACATTATATACCAACTTGACAAGAGGGTCATCATATGATGTTTTAAACATGGTATTACAACTGACCATATCTGGCCAAACAATAGCTTTGCTAGTTGGGTGAGTAACAAGCCAGTAGTTGCTGGCATGGTTAACCTATCCCTTTACAATCTGCCTAACATGATAGCACAAATATCACTGACCAGGACACTGGATATTAG